TTGAATTCTATCACGAATAAATTTTTTTTCGGGAAAATTCTCACCAAAATGCTTTTGTACGCTTGTAAACAATATAATGGGTTGTCACTGGAATAGTTTTAACATCTGTCGAACGAGTGTTTTAGAAATGACAGCAGTCTGAAGTTTGTTGCAGTTTTTTCATCTCACCCTGTAATGGTTTTTTTTACGGGTAGTTTTACTAAATATGCATTGTGGTGTAGGGTATCATATATTAGGTCCCGCCCAACTTTCGACCTATCCTGTAATAATTGTAAACTGTAATAATTAATTAAAAGATACTTGAATGTTGATTTCTTGATGTTTTCTGATAACAATAAGAAATTGGCATTGCCTTTGAAGTTCGTGAATGCTTCTTTGCCAAGCAACTCTTTATATATTCATATGTTTCATTAAACAACATTTACAAAATCAAATTTTATGAGCCCCCATTTATCATGAGTATGTATTTACCTCAAGGCTTAATATTGCATTAAAATCAAAACACATACAGACGTGTGTATTTACATATTCAATTGTACATGGCTTTAATTTCCAGGAAAATGCATTGGTTTAGCTTTTATTTCCAGGAAAATCCAATTCATATGAGCATTATTAAAATGTTTCATTTGCCAAAAAATTAAATAAATGAAGATTCTCCGAATTAACAGAAACATCTCTGTTAAAGAGAATAACAAAATGCGTGCTTTTTAATTTCTCCCATTTTAAATTTTCATGAAAACGAAAGTGACATCGATCCAAATTGACATTTTAAAATCTTTAAATTAAATGGTAATTTTTCGTATGCTTTAAAATAATGTGATTATCCACAGCAACGCATTAAGCTGTAAAAGTGTTGTTAATAGAATAAAAATTCAATATTATTTTAGCCAAGTTAAAAGCATTCTCATACCATTTAATTCTTTGAAATATCATCTCGCAAAAAAGCCCTTAAGTGTCTTTACAACTTATTCACTTCACTAATTTCGTTATTATCCTGGGAATTACAAGAGACTAAAACAAAAGCAAAAAATAAAATCCAACAAAAGCTCCAATAATAAAATGTGGTGAACTGAAATAAGTTTGAAAACTTGTAAATTTTATGCAGATTTCAAATTGAATTAAAAATTTGAATAGATTTTGGTATACTTTGGTTTGCTTAGCTTATTTTTCCATGCAACACAATTTAGGTATTTCGTTTAAAAATGTTATTGATGAATTCATATTCGAATGCAGACAGGGAGATATATGAGAGTTTTGCAAGAAATTGAAGTATTATTTTACTAAGACATTGAAAAAACTCGTGTTTTTTTAAAAATGCCATCGTAGTCATGAGTAAAACAACACTAAACCACCTGTCAATAGCTCGAATTATTAAAAGAACATATTATATTGTACATTGAAAAAATAATAGGGTATTCCTTAACATTTTAACATTGGAACCTAACATGATTGTATGTTTTCCTAAAAAAGACTTAATATCCCCAACACAAGATAAACAAGCAAAAAAGCAGTTAAGTTCGACCGGCCCGAACTTTTTATAACCTACATTTGGAAGAAACTTAATTTCAAGAAAAATTCCGTCGAAAAATACTGGGGACTATACGAAGACGTGGTCTTGCATCAGTAATTTGTGTCATAAGCTTTAGTAACTGTTCCTAACTTTATATGTGAAATTTGAATAATGTCGCAAAAATCATGAAAATACCGAATATTTGGGCCACCGTTATGTAGGCTCTATACTAAAACGTGGACCTATATAGACATTTCTCTTCTAGAGCATAAAGTACTCCGAGGGAACCCCTTGCGATTGCTTTTAAGACAATTCCATTAAAAATTTCGCTAAAATCATCAAAATACCGCATACCGGGAGGTGCCGTTATATGGGGGTATATACGATATCGTGGACCTATATAGACAATTCTCTTTCAGAGGGTAAAGCACTCATAAATAACTCCTTGTGTAGAATTTCAGACAATTCCATTAAAAAATTTGGCTGAAATCATCAAAATACCGAATACCGGGGAGTACGGTTATATGGGAGCTATACGATATCGTGGACCGATATAGCCCATATTCGAACTTGACCTGCCTGCAGACAAAATACAGATATTTTCAAAATTTTAGCTTCCAATCATAATTCGTTTTGATTGTAGTGTGATATCAACAGACGGTTTGACGGACCAACGGACAGGGCTAAACTTTAAATACCAGTAATGCCGTTTGGATAATGCTGTTAAAATTTTCAAAAAACCATTAAGTGGTTGAGGCCGTTGTATGGGGGCCATACAAAAGCGGGAACCCCCATAGACAATTTTATACTTCAGGGATTGTCATGTAACCAATCCTCTTAAATACCAAATTTGCAACAATTTTGGCAAAAATCATCAAAATACTGAAATCCGGGGGTACTATTATGTAGGGGCTATTCGAAAACGTGGACCTATACACACTATGTTCCGCCACAGGAGCTAGAACCCATTATGACCAACATATACCAATTTTTAGAAAAAACCGTGGAAATATAAATTCAATGTTTCGCCAGCGTAGCCAGAATCCATTATTAACTACAAATACCAATTTTTTTTTGGGGCCTACCCTCCACCTTTTCAAGTTGGCCTTTTGAGGAAGGTACCAGAAAGAATGAACCGACATATTCCATCTTTACACCAAATCTTGTGTTAAAAAAATAGATGTGTGAAATTAAAAGACAATGTGGCTCTCATTGCACATTTTTGAAGAGTTACAATTATTACAAATATTTGCCCTTTGTAAGAGAGGTGCCAGAAGGATTGGCTTATTGTATTTCATATGTGATCGTTTTGGTTATTTAAAATATTAACCCTTAGTGGGGGAGTACCGGAAGAAGTAGGTCGAAAGCGAAAGCACATTTCATGTTTTACGAGCTTCATGGATATACCTCCCCGTTTTGTGGGATGTACCAGAAGTAGTGGACCAATATATATCATATTCGTACCAGATATTGTGTTGTTTTGGTAGAAATATTGGGAGTATGAAAGTTTATGACAATCGGATGCTTATTTCACATTTTATAAGAGTTATAATTATTCAAAATTGTAGCCCTTTGTGGGGAAGGTACTTGAAGGAGTGTTCCGATATTGTCCATTTTCTTATCTTACCTAGCACAGACAAAAATATGGTGACATGTAAAGTTTACACAAAATCGAATAATTCTCTCTCTCTCTCCCTCTGAGGTAAATTATTTCCTATGAAAATTTTGACTTTTTGTGGAGGAGGTACAAGAAGTATGGGACCGATGTTGCCCATCTCCGAACTCGATCCATGTTTGACAATAATATTACGATATACTAAGTTTGGATAAACCGTGACAATTAGCTTTTTTCAATGTAAGAGACATTAATAAGACTTCCTGATACGATAAATATAAGGCGAACTTGTGCTGTCATATGAATTTACGATTTGGTATAATGGAAATTTCCATCAATACGTAAACAAGGATTATGGAATAAGCCATTATTCTCCACCTACTGGTACTGCAGAGTTTTCCGGCCAATATAGTTCCCAAGATTTTGCTGGGGATTGTCATATCAACTACATCAACAACTCTGCTTGATATTGAACTCACCACCATTTGTTTTGTAATAAACTCTGTTCGACAATTACAAAAACACAGGGTGAGATAAAAAAAACTGCAACAAAGTCAAAAGCCATAACTTTTAATTTTTTTTTAAATTTTATTGAATGACAGAAAAGATGTAGAAAATAGCATCAAATTTTAGAATAAGTTTCGAATTGGTCACCTTTGGCACGAATTATGGCCCGAATGTTGCTCTGTGTTGCTCGCCATTCCCGGCGAAGCGCTTGGTTGAGGTTATCGACACTTTGGTATTTTTTAGTGCCAACCTTGCTTTCCAGACATAATAGTCCAACGGATTAGTATCCGGAGATTTTGGTGGGAATGAAGCGAGGAACCTCTTTTTGTAACCATTCTTGGGTGGCGCGTGCTGAGTACGATGGTGCTGAGTCCTGTTGGAATGTCCAAGGTCTGCGGCCAAAATGTTTGCGTGCCCAAGGCTTTAATACACGGTCCAGAATATTCTCACGATAATATTCGGCATTTCGGCTGTTATGGCGGCCCACACCATCACCATGCCCGGCGCTTGACTTCTGGTGGCCAACCGAATGTGCACATTTTCAGCTGACCTCTTTGGCGAGTAAAAACAAAGAATGTTTTCTCATCGGAGAAAACCAAATTCGGCAGTTCACCACTTTCAGCGAAGCGAAGCAACTCTTTAGCTCTTTTGAGTATTTTCTTTCTGTTGCTGTGTAAGTTCTTGCACTTTTTGGAATTTCAATGGCTTTGCCCCGAGCTCATTTCTCAATATTTGCCGATATGTTCAACTCACGAGCCATTTTTCGGCCTTTGCAACGCGGTTTTCGCTCAAGTCGCTTCTTTACTTTTCGAACCATTTCTGATGATGTTGCAGTTTTTTTCCGTCCATTTCCTTGACGTAGGGCTACGCTACCAGTATCACTGTAACGAGCGATGGTATGAGACACAATAGATTTACTTGTGGTTTTCCAGCCAAATATAAAGAAATCACACTATCACGCATGAATTCCATCACGAATAGCTTTTTTCTGGAAAATTCTCACCAAATTCTTTTGTAAACAATATATCGAGCTGGCACTGGAATAATTTTAACAATATTGAAAAACATTTACAACAGCTGTGACCAAACCCACACCAATAAATTTTAGGTACAAAATTTAAAATTCTATTGTTTCACGCCTTTTGTCTGAATTGCCAAGGAATACATTTCCAACCGTACGTAAGTACGTACATATATTTGTGTATGTATTGTATACACCATAAAAACTTTATTTAGGTCATGCTAAGGAACAATTACTTATATATTAGGCCGTGCCTTCACATTATATATAAATATCGCTACAGCATTTGGCCTTTATATTGAAACTTTATCTATTACCAATAATTACAATTCAAAATAATTACTTACCGTTGAATTTTCATCACAATTCAACATGCCATAGAAATCCTCGCTGGCATCACGTTTAAAATTCAAAATCGAATCAACGGCACTCATTTTGCTGCAGTAATTTTTCTCCTTCTTGTCGTTTCAAAGGATTTTTTTCCTCTCAATTATTTATTCCGTATTATTTTGTTATGATTTATACCAGATGTTTTTGTTTGTATTTTTTTCCACTTTTTTCCGGGCTTTTATCACTGTGATCAATCACTGTAATAATGAAATTGATTTGTGTATTTTGTAAAGAGGCACCACAAAGAAAAGTATTTAAAAAAAAAAATGAAACGAAGTGATTAGAATATCTAAGTAAATGGCTGGGAAAAAGTCTGTTCAATAACCGTTGGATTATGAAGTTGGTAAAAAAAAAAACTAAAATTTTATTTGGCTCTGTAATTTGTTAGTCTAATAAAATAGTACATCCTGTGTATGTGCCCGTGTTGTTGTTGTGTGTGTGTGTGCGTTTGAAAGTGTTTATTTGTCTATGAACGATAAAAATAGTAGCTAAAACCTAAAAACAAATTGACTCCATCAACACTTCCCGTATCAATCAATTTACGTTATATTGTGATATGTGTGTAGCTACGATGCCGATGATGAGGTTTGCACTGGAGGTGCTCATGTGATGGGTAATAAATTAAGTAAATAGCCGACATATCATCAGCAGGTTTAAGCTGCACCCCCACATAGCTACTCGTCACAATAGTGGTTGTGCTAATTTTATCACCATATCTATAATAACTTTAAATAATCATTTAATTCCTCTTAAAATAGATTTAGTATGCCATGGAATAGTTTAAAAGTTAACTTAATAAATCGTGTGATTTGAGGATGTTAATTAAATCAGATCAGCCTTACCACACGTGATGACTTTCTATGCCTTCCGCCATAGGATGGAGGTTATATTCCATTCTAAGCCAATTTAAAGATTTCTGTGCGTCTGTCAAAATCAGTTTGACACAAAAAGGTTTGTATTGTACTCCTAAGATGTTTGGTATTGAAAGAAAGAAATGTTCACTGTAGCCTAAATTTGGTACCTCCAACTTTTATGTATATTTAAGGTTTCAGTGGTTGATTTAAATCAAGTAGTGGACGCCATATCCTCAGCCATATGGCTAGAGAGGGTATATATTATTTTATGCGATCAAAACGTACCTAGTTGAAATAGCGATTTTCGACCCTAGGCTTCTTAGGACCAAATCCCTTTCAGTACATTTGGAGTCGATCTATCAATGTCCGTCCGTCTCTCTGGCTGGGGCGCACGATAACTCTCAAAAGGGAGTATCCGATTTGGTCCTAAATTGGTACATCGTAATATTTTTGTCAAACTTACATCGAGTTCGGAGATGGGCTATATCGGTCCACTTCTTCTGGTACCTCCCCCACAAAAGGTCGACATTTTCAAAAAATATATTTTCTGCACAGAAAGAGAAACGATAATCCGATTTTGCTCCAACTTTGCATATTCTAATATTTACGGCAGTGCTAGGTCAGGTGAGAAAATGGAAAATATCGGTCCACTTCATCAAGTACCAGCGCCACAAAGGGTCAAAATTTTGAAAAACTACAACTCTTATAAAATGTGATTTACACCCCCCTAAAAAGGTCGTAATTTTCAAAAATATATATTTTCTGCACAAAAAGAGAAATTATAATCCGATTTTTATCCAACTTTGCAAATCGTAATAGTTGCGTCAGTGCTAGTTTACGTGCGAAAATGGACAACATCGGCCCACTCCTTCTGGTACCTCCCCCACAGAGGGTCAACATTTTGAATAATTACAACTCTTATGTGATTATTATTATTATTATTATTATTATTATTATTATTATTATTATTATTATTATTATTATTATTATTATTATTATTATTATTATTATTATTATTATTATTATTATTATTATTATTATTATTATTATTATTATTATTATTATTATTATTATTATTATTATTATTATTATTATTATTATTATTATTATTATTATTATTATTATTATTATATTATTATTATTATATTATTATTATTGTTATTATTATTATTATTATTATTATTATTATTATTATTATTATTATTATTATTATTATTATTATTATTATTATTATTATTATTATTATTATTATTATTATTATTATTATTATTATTATTATTATTATTATTATTATTATTATTATTATTATTATTATTATTATTATTATTATTATTATTATTATTATTATTATTATTATTATTATTATTATTATTATTATTATTATTATTATTATTATTATTATTATTATTATTATTATTATTATTATTAGTATTATTATTATTATTATTATTATTATTATTATTATTATTATTATTATTATTATTATTATTATTATTATTATTATTATTATTATTATTATTATTATTATTATTATTATTATTATTATTATTATTATTATTATTATTATTATTAATGTTATTATTATTATTATTATTATTATTATTATTATTATTATTATTATTATTATTATTATTATTATTATTATTATTATTATTATTATTATTATTATTATTATTATTATTATTATTATTATTATTATTATTATTATTATTATTATTATTATTATTATTATTATTATTATTATTATTATTATTATTATTATTATTATGTGATTTAAAAGACCGATTGTCTTAAAATTTCACACATCCTAATAATTTTATTAACCCAAGGTATGGTGTAAAGCTGGAATACATCGGTCCACTCCTTCTGGTATATCTCCCAGAAAAGGTCGAAATTTTGAATATACATTAAGCTCATAAAACGCGAAATTAACATCCGATTCCATTTAGACTTGGCGCACCTGAATATTTCTATCAAAGCAGGATCTGTTATAAAAACGGTAGAGATTGAACTATTCCTTTTTGTACCTCCCCAATAACCAAAACGTTTATAAAATCCGAAATAAGCATCAGGTTCTCTTTATATTTCACACATCCCATTACTTCTACAAACACAAACTCTGTTGTGAAGATGGGATATATCGGTCTACTCCTTCTGGTATCTTAATTACAAAGACTAAAAATGTTGAATGTCCATGAAGCTCATGAAATACGAAATAATCATCCGATTCCATTCCACTCTAAGTACATTTCTAAGTAATATTTCCATCAACACAAAATATGTTGTGAACATGGTAGAGATCGGGTTCAAGACGCTCAAACGCTCAAAGAAACGAAATAAGCATCCAACTCACATACAAACGTTTTTACTAATGCAAGATCTGTTGTGAAGATTATATATATCTGCCAACCCCTTCTGGTACATCACCCACAAAGGATAGCAATTTCCAATATTTATATCTGTCATAACTTGCGAAAGAAGTAGGCGATTTTTTACAACATGTTATATGTAAATTTTTCTTTCAAACAGAAGCCTTTTTAACTGCTTCATGCCGAAGATTTTTTTTTTTTTTGAGTAACGAACTTATATCTTTGGACCTACTTTTCAATTTCGATGCACGACGATAATTTTTTATCTATGAGACAAATCCTTGACCTGGGTCTTTGAGACCACAAATTTCGATTTTGATAAACAAATATCACCAATATGACTAAATAAAGACAGATGTAAAAATTAGAAAACCCCTTATCTAGCGGCTAGAAGATCTGAGGTAGCAGATATTTATACCCTACACCACATAAGTGTACTATGCTTTTGTGCATTTGTTTGTAATATGGAGAAGGAAGCGAGATAGACCCATAATTAATTTTGAGGGTCTTTATACATGGCGATCTTTTGGAGGCGATTTATACATATCAGTCCGTCCGTCTATCCATGTATTTTTGTATGCATTTGCAACAAAATACAAATACATACATTGGTGAGAATTGAATATTGAAATTGGTGAGAATTGGTTCAAATTTAGATATAGCTCCCATATATATTTTCAACCGATTTCGGGCTAATTGTGCACCAAATCGCCAATATCAATCCAAATAACCTGACTTTTACACATCAGCCCAAATGGACTGAATTTTGGCACTTCCGACAGAATTCAGGCCAGAAACAAATACTTCTAAGTTGGAGATAATCGGTGCAGATATAACTCTAATATATGCAGGGTGAGATGAAAAAACTGCAACCAATTTCAGACTGCCGTCATTTCTAGGCCACTAGCCCGACAGCTGTTAAAATTATTCCAGTGACAGCTCATTATATTGTTTAGAAGCGTACAAAAGCATTCTGGTGAAAATTTTCCAGAAAAAAGTTATTCGTGATGGAATTCAAGCGTGATAGTGTGATTTTTTTATATTTGACTGGAAAAACACAAGTGGCTATCGTTAGAGTACTCCAGAATTTAAATGTGAATAAATCTTTTGTGTCGTTACCGTGATACTGGTAGCGTAGCCCGACGTCAAGGAAGTGGACCCGAACATATCGCAATATTCAATTCAGCAAATATTGAAAAATGAGCTCGAGGTAAAGCCTCTGAAATTCCAAAAAGTGGAAAAAGCTTACACAGCAACTTACGCAAAAGAAGTCAGCTGAAAATGTGCACCTTCGGTTGGCCACCAGAACACAAGCGCCGGCCATGGTGATGGTGTGGGCCGCCATAACATCCTATGGTCGCTCTCCGCTCGTATTAATCGACCGTGGCATCAGAATAAATGCCGAATATTATCGCGAAAATATTCTGGAGGGCGTATTAAAGCCTTAGGCACGCAAACATTTTCGCCGTAGATCTTGGTCATTCCATCGCACTCAGCACGCGCCACCCATGAATGGTTACAAAATGAGGTTCCTCATTTCATTTCCAGTGCACAATAGCCACCCAAATCTCCGGATACCAATCCGTTGGACTATTGTGTCTGGAGTATTTTGAAAAGAAAGGTTGGCTCTAAAAAATACTTAAGTGCCGATTACTTCAAGCAAGCGCTTCGCCGGGAATGGGCCAAAACACCGCAGAGCAACATCCGGGCAGAGTGTGACGGTTTCATTGGCCGTTTGAAGGCTATCAATCGTGCCAAAGGATACCAATTCGAACAAATCTAAACTTATTCTAAAATTTGATGTTATTTCCGACATTTGTCGCTTTCATTCAATAAAATTTAAAAAATTATGGCGTTTGACTTTGTTGCAGTTTTTTATCTCACCCTGTAGTTATATGTTTTACTATATCCATTATTTTCTCGATAGTCTGGAATTTCCAACTAAATTCTAGGACAAATCTATATCCATGTTTTGTGGTGGAATTAACGTTTTGAGGCGAAAGCTGAGTATTTGGCTTCCGCAAGGTATTTGAGGTCAAATATCAAAAATTTGTATTAACTGATAAAAAATACTCCTTTAGTTTTTCTCTCCCACTCAGGGCTGGGCCTGAACATGAGGCCCAATTATTCCTATTTATTCATATATAAATCATTTATCCTATCACTCTCTAACTTTTACAATCTGAATTTTTGAGCTTTTGTCATTCACCTAAGCTAATTTAAAAAAAAAAATGTAAAATTATTTGGTTTCTTTGAAAGAAAACTTTAAGTCAATTAATATTACTCCTCGCATAAAATCCTTAGTAGTTTTCGATAACATACATTTTTGGAGTTAGGGCAATTATTTCAAAATTGCTTGTTTACATATTAAATCGACCGCAAAAGAATGTCGATAAATAGTCAAAACAATCACTTCCAAATAAAATTCATAAACAAAATTGTTTTCAAAAAATATTGCAATTGTTTTTTTTTTTATTCAATGACTCAATACAGAGTTGACCTTCGTTAATTGAAGCGTAGATTAAATATAAACTTCCAAACCACAACAACAACAGCGGCACACACAGAAAATAGACAAACAAGAAAAAAAATGATTTTAAAACGTAATCTCAAAACTTTCACTTTAGGTTCTTAAATTGCAAAGCAAAACAAAACAATTTGAAGAAAATTCCGAATTCGTCGTAGATCACTTGATTTGATAATCACTGAGTTTCGGTACAATTTTAGTTCGTATGTTATTTCAAACTTGCTAATTTCTTCTATAAATTTATTAAATAAACACCATTTGGATCTGTTGTTATTATTGTTATTAGTTATTAGATTTTGTTGTTTGTTTATTGAAATCCATTAAATTCGATTCTTGTTTAATTTTCATTTAAAATTCAAATTAGAGTGAGAAGAGCCCAGCCAAGTAAGTTCACAATTTCAAGAAAAATAGATAATAAAAAAAAAGATTCATGCCAACCGTGTGTTTTTTAGTTTTTATTTCTTTTTTTTTTTTCAACGATTTAAACCGCTCTTAATTTGGGCCGCGTTGTTGCTGGCAATAAGTCAAAACTGTTACTGCCACCAACACTTGTTTGTTCGGTCTGATTTGTTACTACTATTCGGAGCGAGCGGTTCGACAACTACGTCTGTTCAATGTTTGCGTCTCTTGTAATGCCACACGCGCCACTCAACTGCAGAGTTGTCCAGTAAACTGTGAAACTGTGGTGTGTCTCTGAAACTCTTCTCATGAATGAATGAAACTGGTTCACAAGGGCAATGGCAACAACAACGACAACAACAGTCCCACCAACAATGATAATCCGAATGCTGATGATGACGATGAGCGAACGGAACGAAATGGTAATGGGAACGGTACACATATAAATATTTAATTTTACTGGATTACCCCATCTCATAGGAGCGAGCGAACCCACAATCACCACATTTACCTACAGCATCAAATACCGCGCAATACAAGCCCCCCAATGCCTGGACTGGCAAAACAACAAATGAGAATAAAAACAAAAATTCCAATTTATTTCTGGTTCTCTCAAGAGAGAGGAAATGAGAGAGAAACTAAGCTGCACTTGATTGAATTTTCGAGGGGTTGTCTGTAAAGTTTAGGAAATAAGTTTAAAAATAAACAAATTGTAGCGGAAAAGAATTGCTTATAAATAGAACGAATAATGAAAAAGTAAAATAGCTGAAGGTTCGGCCAGGCCGAACCTTGAATACCCTCCACCATTTGGAACAATTTGGCAATTTTAAAAAAATAAAAACCGTTAAAAATACGACGACGTGGACCTACATAGGCAACTTTAATGATAATATTCAAATGCGAAACTTGAACAAAAAAAATCGGTGAATAATGTAGCTAAAATCATTAAAATACCTGATAAAGGGAGGTACCATTATATGGGGGCTATACGAAGACGTAGACCTGCACAAAAAATTTTCTGTCATAGACTGTAGTATTCATTATGAACTCCAAATTCCAAATTTTAAATGATCAAAATACCGAATATCGGGAGATACCGTTACATAGGGTCTATACGGAGACATGACCTGCACAGACAATTTTCTGTCATAGACTGTAGTATTCATTATGAACTTCAAATACCAAATTTGAAACAATTCCGGTGAATGATGTCCCTAAAATCATCAAAGTACCGAATATCGGGAGGTACCGTTATATGGGGGCTATACAGATATGTGGACCTGCACAGACAATTTTCTGTCACAGGCTGTAGTATCCGTTACGAACTTCAAATACCAAAATCGAAACAATTCCGGTGAATAACGTTGCTAAAACCATCAAAAAACCGTATATGGGGGGGGGGGTGTACCTTTGTATAAGGGCTATACGACGACGAATATCTGGAGGTTCCATCATATGGTGGCTATACCAAAACGTGGACCAATATATCTCATTTTCAATACCAACCATCCTAGACATAATAATAATGTGGGCTCTATCGGGATTTCAACAGACAGACGGACATCGTTAACTCGCCAAGTATATATATTTTCTTGATCAGTATAAAATTATATGTTGATTTAGCGATGTCCATCCGTCTGTGGAAATGACCCTTCCTGTTGAAAATGGGCCATGTAGGTCCACGTTTTGCCATTGCCCCCATATAACGGCACCTCTCTATTTTCGGTATTTTGTTGATTTTAGCGACATTATTCACCGGAATTGCTTTAAATTTTGGTATTTGAAGTTGGTAATGCATACTACAGCCTATGATAGAAAATTGTCTGTGCAGGTCTACGTTTTGGTATAGCCCCATATAATAGTACCTCCCTATATTCGGTATTTTGATCATCTTTTATGCTGCAGGTCCACGTTGTAGTATAGACCCTTATATACCGGCAACATTCGGGATTTTTAAGATTTTAACAGAACTTTTAACGGATTTTATTTATTTTTTTTTTTGAAAATTACCAAATTCGTTCCAAGTGGTGGAGGGTATTCAAAGTTCGGCCCGACCGTACTTATAGTTTTTTAATTGTTTTAAATAAAATCTATTTGAAAAATATCTATTAATTGTTTAAAGCAAATCGATGTTCAATCTACGTCATATCTCAGTGTAATCACATCATCACCGAGTTGGAAATTGAAGGATAGTTTTAGAGAAATATTTGTAAAACGTCTAGAAGTGGGTGGCGCCCAATACAAAGCCTGAGTACACCAATATTGTCCGATTTCCCACCTGACCTAAGTTTCTTCTAAATATTAGGTTATGCCAAGTTCAATATATGATTTCGATATTTTCACTGCAAAATTGTTGAAGTTTTGTGGGAAAGGCAACAGAAAGATTGTCACGCGCTAAAATAGTTCTAAATACTGGGAAGCAGCGTACGAAAATAAACTATATCAAGCGTTGTCAATCGTTTTGTTCTGTATTTTCTCGAAGTACGAAACGTTACAAAACCGATATTAAGATAACAGGACTTGTTTGTTATTTTGTACTGTTTGTGTAGAGGAGTGGAAACAAAAACAATACTGAAATGTACTCTGCTGGATGACGCAACATTGGAAACGAAACAGTACAAAACTCATCGCAAACGTTTGCAAACGTTTCCCTGCATATTACCTCATTACAAATAATGTACAAAATAATATTAAGATAAAATAATTCATTTATATCATTTATTTCACCATCATAAAATGTAAAAAAGCACAAAAAACAATATTAGGATAACAACAGTCAATGTATCACTCATCATTTCACACAGCAAACGTTTGGAAACGGTTCCCGGCGATTCGTTCGCAAACGTTACAGCTCGGCAATTGACAACCGAAATAAATTAAGGCTATCGTTTTCTTTGTGTACTTCTGGCATTGAAATGTTTGTGGTTTTGTTTTGTTCGGAGTACAAAACGATTGAAAAAATTTTAAAAGTTTGTGTCTTCGTGAGCAAATTTCAGATCATTAAGCTCATCTTAAAAGGGAAATAAATGTTTCCATTTTCTTTAGAAAGAAGCCTTCATATTTTTTTAAAAGATTCAAGTCCTAAGTAAATGTTCCTGAGTTTTCACGTTCTATATTATCATATGCAAGCTTCAATACCTAATAAGTATGAAGCTAAAGTTTTCGAATATGGTACAGGGTGAGACAAAAAAATTGCAACAAAGTCAAACGCCATAATTTTTTTTAATTTTATCGAATGAAAGCAAAAAATGTGGGAAATATCATCAAATTTTAGAATAAGTTTAAATTTGTTCGAATTGGTCACCTTTGGCACGAATTAAGGCCTTCAAACGGCCAATGAAACTGCCACATGTTGCCCGAATTTGCTCTGCAGTATTTTGCCCCATTCCCGGCGAAGCGCTTGCTTGAAGTGATCGACACTTTGGTATTTTTGGTACCAACTTTGCTTTCCAAAATACTCCAGACACAATAGTCCAACGGATTGGTATCCGGAGATTTTGGTGGCAATTGTGCGCTAAAAATATAGCGATGAACCTAATTTTGTAACCATTCTTGGGTGGCGCGTGCTACGTGCGATGGTCCTGAGTCCTGTTGGATGTCCAAGGTCTGCGGCCAAAATGTTTGTGTGCACAGGCTTTAATACACCCTCCAGAATATTTTCGCGATAATATTCGGTATTTAATTCGATTAATACGAGCGGAGAGCGACCATCGGCTGTTATGGCGGCCCACATCATCACCATGACTGGCACTTAAGTTCTGGTGGCCAACCGAAGGTGCTCATTTTCAGCTGACCTCTTTGGCAAGTAAACAAGATCAGTTTGTTTGTTTACAAACTGCTGGACAACGAATGTTTTCTCAACGGAGAAAACCAAATTCTCCAGTTCACCTCTTTCGGCAAAGCAAAGCCCTCTTTAGCTCTTTTTTAGTCTATTTTCTTTCTGCTGTGGTGTAAGTTCTTGCACTTTTTGGAATTTGAATCATTTTTCAATATTTGCTAATGGAATATTTCGATGTTTTCAGCTCACGAGTCAATTTTCGGCCACTTCGACGCGGATTTCGATCAAATCTCTTCTTTACTTTTCGAAACATTTCTGCTGATGTTGCTGTTTTCTTTCGTCCACTTCTTTGACGTCGGGCTACGCTACCAGTATCACGGTAACGAGCGATGGTATGAGACACAAAATATTTATTCACATTTAAATGCTGGAGTGCTCTAACGATAGCCGCTAGTGGTTTTCCAACCAAATATAAAGAAATCACACTGTCACGCTTGAATTCCATCACGAATAACTTTTTTTCTGGAAAATTCTCACCAAAATTCTTTGTACGCTTGTTAACAATATAATGAGCTGTCATTGGAATGATTCTAACATATGTCGGACGAGTGGCTTAGAAATGACACCAGTCTGAAATTGGTTGCAGATTTTTCATCTCACCCCGTTTATTCGAAAACCTCCTTAGGTCGAAACATATTTTAGTCGATTATTTGAAATAATGCCATACTGTCCTGCACAAATGGTTTTTTACCGGCGATATTTTCCTTATATTTACACTCTTGTGTGAAATTGTTTTGGATACCTATCAGCGTGATATAGAGTGAAAATATAAGAAAAATATCGACGGTAAAAAACCATTTGTGCGTCCAAAATGCTACACTTCTGCGCTGTCCAAAGCTCTAATATCATGCAAAATCCCGCATCGATTAGTATATACAATAAATATTCACCTTTCATTGACACAGGTTCAAGCTATTTTCTGAGATTTTATCCTTTTCTGGTAAGAGGCCATTCCGAATTTTTATTTTTACATAAAAGGTATATTTTATTTTACCTGCTAAACCAGCCCTGAACTTTAGCCCCATGGTAAATTCCGTATCGATTGGTCTATAATATCGACCTGTAGAGCAACTGCAAAATCAGGAAATTTTCTGTTTTTGGTCCATTTCAACCCTAGCCACACCTCGATGCTCAATTTCGTGAAGACCGGGACATAATTGCGACCTGTAGAGTGATTACAACTTAACATGGACAGAAAGAAGCCTTCATATTTTTTACAGATTCAAGTTTTTAGCAAATTTTCTTGTTAGCTTCAAAAAGTATGGAGTTAAAGTTTCCGAAATATATGCATATTTTGTAATTTTTCCAATAAGAAAAGTAAATTCAAACGTCCTTGATCATATCATTTCTTTTCGGAAAAAATAGATTTTCAGATCTCAATATTTTCATTGCAATTATACATTTTACATTAACCATCATTCTTTAGCGCCTTTCGTTGTTTGTAGAACTGGAA